TTAACAAAAGCCTGTCTTGTTTTTCCGATTCTGGCTGGCTTTGATGTCCTCGTCTGTGCCGCCTGTAGTGAAAACAGTGCTAACTAGTTGTTAGGTGAAGGAGGCTACTTCCTTTAAGCTTCTCTCGGTGATGGTGATTGAAGCTTCTTCTTCTTCTTGTTGTTGTTGACTGGGTGTCTTCATCACCTGTGTCTTCTCTTCGTTCACTTGAAGTCCCGTCTTCGTTACCCCACCTCTTCTGTCAACTTGTGGGTTTTCACCTGTAGATCTTAGAATTTGTGCAACATTGGACATAAATCATCATCGACGAAATTTAAATATTCTTCTAGGGTCTTTTCCGTGGTCCAGCATACGCCCCTATTCTCACTCCTCACGGTCTTCTGCTGCATGATCCAGTCGACCACAATCAGGAAGATGATCGGTGATAGTAGGTGGCAGCCTTGTCTTACTCTTGTCTTCACTTCAAAGGTGACACCAATCTTCCAATTGTGGATCACTTGGCATGTGGCGTCTTCATACAGTTGTTGAATGAGGTTGACAAGGGTTTGTGGTATTCCGTAGTGTTGAACCAACTGCCAAATTACTTCTCAGTCGACGCTGTCGAAGGCCTTTTCAAAGTCGATGAAGATGAGGTAGAGTTGAGTTGAGTTGACTGCCATTCTGTACACTGTTTTGTGTTCACTGGTAGTTCTGTGGGTGGGCTGTAGATAGTATTTTTGGACTAAGTGTAGGCGGTGGTCTATTCAAGAGCTTCTTGAAGTGGTCAGCACATGGCTTCCTTATTTCTCCTCGTTGGTAACTAGGCTCCCTTCACTATTTTTAATTGGCTTCATCTGTGTTGATATCTCCCATCCCAGATACTAACCTGGTTACCTGACTCAGTGTTGTCAGATCTCTGTCTCTCCTACCAGCAGCCTGTTCTGCTTCACTTGCCAGTGTGTCGTAGCACTGTCTTTCCTCTGTCCGCACACTTCTCTTCACTTTTTTGTCCAGTGTAGTGTTTTGAAGGTTGTGTTCAGTTCCCCTTTCGTTGTTCATCCCTGCACTGCACTGCTCTGCTCTGCTTCATCCTCCGCTTCACCATCTTCCTCTCCCTGTTCCATCAGATTCCATGCACCTGTCGAAATCCATTCCTTGTCTTGCCTCTTCTTCTTCTTCTTCCCTCGTAACACGGTTATGCAGGTTTCCTTCCATGTCTCTTTCATAGAGTTCCAGTGCTCATCCACACAGGTTTCCTCGAGGATGTTGCTCAATGTATCCCACTTTTTCCTGATGGCTGACTGACGTGAAGATCTCCTTTGTAGTTGCGTCCTTCAGTTGAGTTCAGTTTCTGTTCTGGGTGGTTGTTGAACTTGAACTGTGGCCTATCACCAGCTTCTTGTTTGAAGGCTTTCAACTTGATTTTGAATGTAGGTCGCTTGCACTAGATAGTCTGGTGGTGTGAACCTATATCTGCTCCCCTTCTTGATCTGATCTTGTGTCCAGTAGACTGTGTCTCCACTTTCTTCACATTGAGATGAAGTTGATCTGATTTCTAGTGTGTCCATCTGGTGTCTGGTGAAATCAAATCGATGTTGCTGCCGTGTGAATATCCTTGTGTTTGTGCACAGTGCCTAACTCCAATCACCGAATCGTTGAATGCACAGAATTCTGCAAACAATTCTCCATTCTCATTCATCGTTTCACTGAGTGCTTCTCGACCCATGATCAGTTAGTTCTCTTCCTGTGTTGTCCACTCCCAGTTTGGCTTGCATTCATGTCACTCATTAGAATGAAGTTGGATGTCACCATCTGGATGTCGCCATCTTGTCTAGTACTGATTGGAGTTGTCTGTGGAATTCCTGCTTCTTCTCTTCATCTGCATTATTTGTATGTGGATAGCGTAGAGTAGGATTGTATGAATGTGATTTTCCTTCTATTTGAGTAGAATGTGGCTGTCATGATGCTGATCGTGGAGGAGGAGATTGGTTTTCATTGTATGAGAGAGAGCCCTCAGTGCTCTTGGGGACATCATGGTAGGCACTCGAAAACTCAGTGTGCTCGTGGTTGTTGTCTGGTTGACAATATCGGAGTAGGTTATTGACTCTCCAGTTGACAGTTGAGAGAGTCCACTTCCATTCCATCTACTTTCCAAGCACTTCAATGCTATACCTTCTCGTCTCTTTTGCATTCTGGGCAGCCTTGCTCTGTTCAAACATTGTGCAGACATTCTATGTACCCGCGTTTACTTCCGCTCTGATCGAGAGAAGACACATGGACCAATTGGTTTTCCGAAGTCTTTCACCAACCGGTGTCTTTTTGCCCCTCTGATTCCATCGACGAATAATGAATGTTGTTTTATTTTTTATATTTCGTTTTGTGCTTTGAAGTTTTTTTAGCGGTTGGATTTGTTTTCCGGGGTGGGGTTGCTAGCCGTATGTCCAACCTTCCGTCTTTACCCTGGCTTAGGACTGGCTAGTAACTAATGAACTAGTTAACCAGGCGAGGTTATTTCTATTGAATAAATGTCGTTTATTCCATTCAACTTATTGAAATATTTGTCAAATAAAGACAGCATTAATTATGCTGTCATCATTCTTCTGTTTTGTGTGACATTTTCAAGTTTGTATTTTATTTGATCGCTTACCTTTTCATCTTCCCGTGATCTACATATACCTCCTTCGAATATAATGAACAACTCATCCACTTAAATGTGAAATAACTAGTCTGCTATATGTTACTATCATGTTTATGCTCTTCCTCACTGGTATCTGTATCACCTGATCATTCATCAGACATTTCTCAGCTTAAGTTTGTTATTCAAACTGAGATTTGGAATGGTTATTTTGAGCAGGGAAACAATGTGTGTTGTGTCAAAATGCTGAATGATATCAAAAGTGAAAATCAAAGTCGATAAAATTAGCACAGTTAGCTGGCATATCAACAAATTTCAAGATCTATGTTCGCTGAACAACCTGTTACATGAATCTATTAATGAGGGAGAAGTTACATTTGAGGACCAGTTAACTACTGTGACTGAAAACACTAAAATGCAGCTCTAGATGCTAAAATATCACTTATCGACTCTGAATGTTGATTCAAACTGAGTATACTGTTATTGTAATATAACCTTTTCCTCTCCCGATCCACTATAAAAGATGCTAGCTTCCGGATGATTAGTATCGACTTCCTTCTATAGAATACACCACTTTTCTGTTGTGAAACCGATGGAAATCTTCACTAGTTTGATATCCGTGGGCATCTCTGCGCCAATATTATAAAGTCTCACTCGGAAAATTTCAGAGCTGATTAATTTGAAGGAGAATAGAATCACATGGGTAGTTTCTGAGATAAAATCATTCCTTAGGTGACTGCCATCATAAACAGGAATTCGACTATTTTTTCCAGTCCTCAAAATGAAGAAAGTGTAGAGGTTTAATATTAACAAACCGTTGCCATTGTTTATTACTACATGACTGCCACGGGTCATCAGACGGCTCAAATAATTTTCCCTTGGTTTTTCTTCGTATCACTTTTAAATTCAACGAATTGGTGTGAATTTATTTTCTGAGGAAAACAAAACTTTCTCACCTTCTAATGAACGTGTACTGTAACCTACTACTATTTATGTGTATGTACATGTCGGTAAAGTCCTATGACTTATAACTTGACTAGATAAGAAATTTCAGTATGCATTTTGTACTGCATCAAAAATCTATATACGAAAAGTTTTCTATTCCACGTAACTATGTTGATATGATACGTTTTAACAGAAACATTTAGGTAAATGGCGACTATATTTGTTCATCAATCTTAGCGTAACCTTTAATTCTTGTTTTTTGAAACTATGAAATTCATATCCCCTTCAGAGTTGACTTCCTGATTGTGACTAACAGAAGCTTGTTGTAGAACGGCAGTGAAGATTAAAACTTACCAACTAAATATATGTTATTCTCCCATAATATACTTGTATGTGAATAGAAATGTAGGACGAAAGTTTAAGTAGTTTATCAAATACTAATCAAAAATGTATGCTCATATAAGTGACTGTGTAACCATTCTGGCTCTCAGCCATCTTACCACATGTATGTTGACAGTGAAGGACAGGTATATCAACTAATGTGAGCAAAAACTGTTTAATAGCGGTAAGTGGCTTTGTTCAGAACTACAAATGCAAACAAAAGCAGTGTACTTTGGTCCAGAGTTTATCTAAGGTTTCAAAATGCGCCTGTAGAGTATAATACCATCTCCAAACTCAGTCCCAAAAATTTTGATTGCAGTCAACTTTAGCACAAACCAGGAGTATTAGAATTACAATTAGGTTTACTGTTCCGTTTATTCAATGGAGTAAACCGTCGGCAAGCACTTCTTAAATTGCTTTTATCATGAAGATTAACTACTTAGAATAAAGTCATTAAGCCAGCCCTATGGTTGAAGACATTTCCATTCAGTCGATCTACAGGAAAATAAAATAAAATCTGCACAATACAAAAGCTAGTTAGGCATCTAAATCACTAACAAGACCACATGACATAATAGAAATTCATATTTCAGCTAAACTTTATATCTGATTAAACCTCTCAGCGTTACTTTGAAATTTGTACTTTATGTCAGCAATTAAGCTTTCAGTAAACCACAAATTGATGGAAACTTTATTTTGAAGATTATACTATGGTATACAGTGTTGCGTCATTTAGTTTGCGAACTCACTGCATCCATTCTACAACAGGTGTTTGGAGTTGTCAAATCCAACAAGTAACCTGGGTAACTAAAATATATCTAGTTCATGTAAATGGGTTCCTGAGATTTTATGAGCAAAGGTTTTATGTACGGAGATATCCGAACGAAAGAATGACAAAGAAAATCACGACTGAGATATTTATCAGGCACACTTCTTAATTATTTATTTTAAAGGTTTCACAAATAAATTCTGATTATTTATATTGGTAGCAACCATAAATTCTAATCGCTTTGTACAAATAACTAAGATTTTGAGACTACTCATTCTTTTACATAAACAGTTTGGAATTCGCTGGCCAGTGTCAAGAACATTCATTTCCACTTCACAAGTTCCTGGTACTCGAGTATTCAGTGAAATCCTGACCACAGATACGACATCTGTTAAAGATTCGAATGGCGGGACGGGAGATTATGACGCAATGTCTGCAACTGGAAGTGGTTTACTTGGCCTGGGGTTAAGGGATACATCTATGCTTGATTGCATGCATCAGTCTAATCTTTTGCTTTACCATCCAATTTACAGGTAGGTTTAAAAAATTTCTGTTTTAAGTGCATTTCCAAAAGACAGACTGGTATATTCAACTGTGACGATTTTAAAGAGAAAACATAAATAAGTAAGAATAAGTACCAGTCGTCTGCAGACTGAAGTTGGGTTTCTAAGGATATTACTATGATAATTCTTGATATGTTGCGAAAACGACTACTTTTAAAACCAACACAGATATGAATAGATGCTGTGTAAACACTTCCAAGTTAGACCTACTGAAGATGTTCTTCTGGTTAGTATAAACAGCTGCAGGTTGTTTGCAAGGAATATATGTATGAGAGGTATTCGCTTCATTGTCTATCCGTATATTGTCAGTGATTCAGCGTAGAACTCTTAACCTCCCGAACTAGTAGATTCCAATGAAAGATTAGCTAACGATTATAGTCAATGGATTCGTGTTTTATTAGTCGAGTTGTTCAACTTGGATTGTTGAACAGTAAAGTTTTCATTCTTTTTCGAGGTACTATCGTTAACAATAGCTGCTAAATTCACTTTTGGAGTGATCTTCACTTTATCGTACACCAACATTGCAAAACTTTTGTAATCATTTATGGATGTTGGGCGAAACCACCGTTACTTTTTTGTTTCAAACATGCATCATGCTTTTATTAACACATGCAAACAGACGACTGTTCAGAAACACTAGTCAGAAGTAATACATAATAGAAATGACTGGAACCACTATATGGTTTCGTACAGACATTTTATACTTATAAATCTCCTTTATTGTACGTTTAAGCCGTTCAAAGTATTTAAACTTAACATATTTTCTCTTTTAAAGAATTTTCTATGTCTCACATGATTCCCAAGATTTGAAAATATTCAGTTACATAGCAAGAGATAGTCGAACCAGTGTCTTCAGATGTAATGTTTTCAAAGCCTATAAAAAGGTAAGCTGTTTTGAGCTTTTTCGAAAGTATTTACTGTTGGTTGATAAAGAAGTGATAGTTTTTATTACTCTTCTTATCCAGAGTGAAAGTGAAACCAAATTATTAAATTGTAAAACAGAGTACTATGTGGGGAAATTAATTTGAAATCCGCATGAAATTTTGTTCACTCACTACTTTTGTGCAAAATTACCTTGAAAAGCCTAGAATGACTGCAGATAACTCGTAAAAAACTTAGCTTGTCTCGTGGTTATTTGTACCTGTTGACGATGAAATCCTGTTTTTTATTTGCCATAGTTACGTCATCATGAAAATAACCACTCGTTTAGCATAATCTAGTAAATGAATCCAAATTATTGATAAAATATCAATAAAATAGCTTAATACAGGATAGCTATTAAATGATGATTTCTTATCGGGACCACGTTGTATTGTATGCTTGATTTCTATACCTTAAAATTACATGAAACATTATTCACGATGATCTTACATTCTAATTTATTTCTTAAAGTATTATTGATTTGAATTGAATTTTATAGTAATAAACCAGACAATCTGAGCAATTTCCTCACACAGCGATCCCTACAAAAACCAATTAGTTTAATTTCTAGGTCTAATAAATTAGTTCCTTGAAGAGGAATCTCATAATATGCTAATGACAATCTTCATCAAGTTGCGTGTTTATTTTTCTGACAGAATTGTATGGTTTAGAAACTGTAAGAGTGGTGTAAAATAAGTTCTCTGCAGTTATGCTGCCTTTGATTAGCTTTTTATAGTCCATTCAGCAATTATAAATGAAGTTTTTCACACACGTTTTGTGTTATCTCTTGCTAGAAAGACCACCAGTGTAATTGCACTGTTTACTGCACGACACCTGATGTAGATTTCATTACACTTGCAAAATTCGTCCAAAATTAAATATAATCATCTGAGGCGGAGAAGATTTCATATTTCACAGAAGGTTGCACTTCGTTAACGAGTATTGACCATTGGTTCAACAGACAAAGATTTAGTCATCAGTGACCTCTTCAACTCAACTCAATATACCCTAGGTCAACAAATACAGTCCTGGCACATTCAATTTCATAGTCATTCAGTTACAGTCATTCAGTATACAGTTACTGACAAACTGTTCTCCAGAATCCTTTACTTCTGAGGGTCTACAAACCTCGATGTGACTAAGGTCTTGTATTTGTATCACCAGAGTGGCTTCTGGTCAAATATTCTGACTCCCGAATTTGAAGTCAGTCAGGATGGCTGTGAGAGACTGATTGATGCAGTTAGTATTTGCAATGTGGTCGACCAGATATTTAAGTGGGAAGCATGTTTGTGAATGAGTTTGTAGGTTGAAAGTGTTGATTTGCTGAGAAGAGAATAAAACTGTGGAGAATGACGAAAGAAATTTCGCGAGAACTAAGATATTCTTGTGACCTAGGAGTTTTGTTTAAACTACTCCCCGGCAAAGAATGACGTTATCGCTTGACATTCCCTGGCAAACCAACCAGCAATTCGCCCAATTTCTGATTTCGTATTCCACTTATGAAATAAAACGCTTTTTAGTTATAAAGGTTTCTACATTATAAATCTTTTGACTTCAGTCATCATCATTTGTCGCACACTTAGGTAAGTTATATTTATTTGATTGTAGATTATGCCTTTGACCCACAGTGAGCTACAGTTGCTGTCAGCAAGTTTTAGTTTTACCATTAATCACTGCATTGCATTTTCACCCGAAATGCCAATCGAAGTTCATCGGCAAACCTTTTGCGTCATCAGTAAAAAAACAACACTGAACATCGTACGGTGAGCTAAAAACTCTCCTTGAAATTATCAACAATCATTTTATTGTGTTGTACCTTACACACATTTTTGCTACTAAACCAAATCAAAACATCATGAATGAAATTCACTGATCACGAGAAAACCAAACTGCATGCTGCTTGAACAAGATTTCGCCAATGTAAACGTGGTGAAAATCGGAATTTGCATTTTAAGGTTGTTGTTAAATGGGTCAAGATGTCGTAAGTTATGTAAATGAGAAACTACTTACATGTTTCAACTGAAGATATGATAAGTTGAAAAAGACTACACTAATATTTCAAAAGTGAACAGGAAGCGTTCAAATGAAGACCTATGATATGTATTTCTCAGTGAAAAAACCTCTCCTCTCTTTTATTTCCACCTAGACTGTATTCTGAATGAAAAGTGTAATTAGCAGCAGTTATTTCGTGACTGGAAATTTGGTAAAGCATTCTACTTTGTGGTTAGATATAGTACAGTGTACGATGACTACCAGTTGGTTAAATTTATCCAATGAGTTATTACCTACAACAGTTTTGAAATTCTTTAAGTTCATGTTAGTAGTTGTTCCGCAAGATAGATTAAGTTGGCTTGCTTCCCTTAAACTTTAGCTTTATAACTCTTAGGTAACTGAATAAAACACGGAAGCATGTAGTAATGAGTCAGATTTCATAAAATATTACTACATGTCATCTTAATTTTTTCCAACTATTCATCATCTGCTGCATCAAAGTCTAAAATATATGAGGCAGAGTTTATTTAAGAGTATGCAGGAGTATTTACCCACCTTTAAGGTTAGCTCTTTATTCAAAGAATTGGAATAAACTTCTGATTTTTCAACACCGGTCAATGCTTATCACTTATAGTAAGTTCAAGTTTATTTTTTATACTTATAAAGTAAGAATTGCTTATAAATAACATCTATAAACAAAGAAGGAAGTTTCCAAGATTTATTGACTCGGAAATTTTTCTAAGATACTTTTCACTCCATTATGTTGCCCTCTCTCAAATAACCTCTGCTATTTTATACGCTCACTTCCTTTGTTACTAGCTACAAGCAATGCGAATTGTACGAACTGTAGGTCAGGCATTTGACGTCTGTCATCGAATCGCACTGCAGAAGCAAGAACAACAATTAGAAACAACCGAAGACAGCAACATTACAAATAACAACATTGACGAAAAAGATGACCTCAATGAGGAAACAGTAAAATCTGATAAGAAGACCAGTAGCAATCTGAATACGAATAATAAGTCTAATGAATCAACTAACCCGAAAAATATAATGGTGATGTAAGCAAGCATAGAAGCAGTTCAAAACACGACTCTAAAACTGGTGCAAAGAGAAAAAGGCCTAAATCTGCCAATTCGAAGTGTGGTGGCAGTTCCACTTCCCAAACACGTAAATCGGATGGCCACAAAGAGAAAAATAATGTTCAAGATACTGACACAAACAATGGTGATGATACTGTAGAAGGTTCAGAAAGGCATAACAAGGAGGATGAAACAAGAAAAACAAAGCACCAAAAATCGAAGGATTTTTTAACTGATTTGGATAATAATGATGAAACTTTGGTTGATATAAAGCCTGTGACCTCAACAACAGCAAGTGAAACTGCTGAGCTAATAGACATTGATCAAGACATGAACCAATCACTGGTCAGTTGTCTGCAGACTAAAAGTATTTCACGTGGAAAATCACACCATAAAATTAAGGCAACGTCACAACATCGATATGATACTCATCAAAAGTCACCCGGAAAGAAGCATGATACCCGGGGTACAAGTGTTTCAGAGTCAGAATCTTCAGGATGCGATCATAGTCATTCACGCGAGCGTTCAGAATCATCCAAGTCATCTGAACATTCAGCATCATCAAATTCATCTGTTGGTAGTCTTATTACATCATATCATTCTGCATCACAGGCAAGTTCACACAGTTCAGTTTGCTCAGGCGAAAAAATGAGAGTTCGGAACAGACATAAACACTGTAACATAAAAGAAGGCCTTCAAGTTCACATAAGAGTACTAAGTTAAAAACAAGTATCACTACTAGAGACTTAGTATGGATGCTGCAAACCGGTGAGGATCAAAGTGGGAAAACTGATCTGTTTACCCAGGAGTTGATATCTTTATTCACTGGGAACACTGCTTCAACCGCATTTATGCTAGAGCAAGGAAGAAGAATGCATCAAAGTAGGTCGTTGGATACGAACGTGGCTAGAGACTTGCTCAATGGAAGTGAGTTGGACTGAAGTTTTTTTCACAAGTTTTTAACTGCTTGAAATTATTTTATCTTCCAAATAATTCTGTATTGCTAATGAATCTAGTTGAGATACCATTAGTTAGTAGACTGGTTTTCAGTTCACTATCATTCTTGATTCATTTTCAGTATCACTACTTTCTTAAATCTTAGCTATTTTAGACTGTCTCATCAATAATCTGTCTACTACTCTACGCCGCCAGTTAATCTCGACTGGCATTAGAATAATGAGGTCTGGTTGGGTAGCTAGTGTGTTGACAATAAACAAAATCTTATATCACCCATTCACGTGACATTTGGTACAAACCCTAGGTGAATAGTTTAAAATTAAGGCCTCAACAACTGCTACGTCTCATACCTAAGAGATTAGAACACTGAGCTGGTATCCAAGAGCTGCTGGCTTGAATCCTCACATTTCCTAAGTCTCATTTTATCTTCAATCGTCAGCCTGTATTATTTTTAATTCAGAATGATGGATACTTAAAATATCAGCATCAGCTATATCACTTGTACTCGCTGACTGACTTTCACATGAAAGAAGAAGGAAACAGTCACAAGGAAAGTTTTATCTTCGATGATTCAGTTACTGAAGGTGTATGTAAATTAGTACAAGTATTTGGAATAAATAGCTGTCTGTTATTATTCAGTAATTTTACGTCACTATTATGATGCTTAAAAGTTGAATAAAATATTTTTTCTAAGGCCGTACGGGAAGTGATAAACTACCCATGATAAAGCTAATGAGTGTACGTGTTGCTCTTGTACATAAAGATAAGTCTTAAGGTTTTGAAGCGCTAGTGATTGGGTTATGCATATATGACTCAATAGAAGTACTTCGGAATTGTAGAAAAGCATTCTGTAACTTGCTTTGAAGTAACTAATGGGAAGTGCCATTTTTTTGGTGACGAAGTGTTTAAGAATAGAACAACCGATCATTTTCCCCCTCTAAGTAACCAGGCTGAACAGTGTTTCAGCTTGATGATGTGCACGGTCAATGCATGTTGCTTCGCAAAAATACGTAAGCTGTTAGATGCAAATTGGGTAGCCTAAAACAGTAATGGATTCTTTAAACACTGAAAGATCGACTGTCTACTGGATATTGTGATTTTCAGGTTAGCTGCAAGAAGTTTCACTAATAAATTTCTCTTCAGAGGATATTTTAAACGACTGTAGATCCCGTTTTGCCCTTGAAATTAAAGTTAATTAGATGTTCTTCTAGTTGACTTTTGTTTCCTACTTTATAATGTCTGCATCATTCTGGTGCATAATCACCATTATCTTGTTATATGAACTTGGTAAAATCTTATGGTGATGTATCACAGTTGTTAATTGAACGAAGGCGATCGACAGGAAATCCTGTACCTAGGTTTTGTGCTTGTTGACATTCGTCAGCTAGGTGCATCTCAACCTCAAAGAATTGATATCTGAGATTAAAACGCGCGTCACCCATTGTTGCAGTCAAATACGTTGTCACTCGACTATTCGGAGCCCAACTGACCTCCTGTAGGACTATATAAGATGTGTATAAGCCTTGCTAACAAGTCCCAACACGCATAAAACCTAGGTCCAGGGCTACCAGTTGACTACCTGTATTCAACTAAGATTTATCTGAGTGCGTCACAGTAGTGAGTCTCATCTTTCAGTGAGGACATGACGTAAGCTTTGAAACAAGAGATTTCGTTAACAAATCTGTTCATAAAGATATTATTGATAACTATTTTCTCCTTCTTGGGATACCGTTTACGTGCTTCGCAATCACGTCCTTTTCACTTGCTCAACCAAGGCTTTGATTTAAAGACTAACATTTTAAGACATATCCCTTCTGCAAAAGCTTTTCTACTAGTCAAACTAACACTATAGTTTAGAAGCCTGGATCTGATCAGTACATATTTAATTCAAATGCCAGTGAATTACTCACACAGATGGAATACATATCACTGGTGAATTCAGGATACTCATCACTATTACTACAAACAGTGTGTACGCTAAAATGTTTTTATTCGTTTCTCGCAGCACCGTTTATGGTGCTTTGACTGATGTAAGAAGCCCTGTCTAGCAAAACGTGACTTCAGAGAATAATAAAACTACTAGAACTACCATTCAAAATAAAAAAACTAGATATTCAACAAGCTGAGCGCTAAATCACTACATAATACTTTTTTACCATTTCATAGGTTCCTTACAAAGTCCAAATAATCTATCTACCACTTTATTGTCTGATGGTACCTTACCGGAAACATCGTCTATTGATCACAGTTCCATTTGTACAGTACTTCCTGAGATGGTAGATTTAAATGGTCTTTGTCAGCCAAGTAAACCAACATTACCAAATCCAACGGCGAATACTAATTTACATCAAGTTAGTCGCTATCGTTATTCATTTCTTAATGTCAAGTTATTTACTTAATTTCGTACAGAAATTCACATTACGGTTCCTGTATAAAGTTGTATTATAAGATTATTACTCCGAATTAACATTGTTCCCTTATCCTTGAATTGTCACTAGCTTAACATATATTTGAATCAAATAGTTACTGCTATGACTGGTACTACGACGAAATAACGGTGCTCCCAAGATCCAGTCCTGATTAACCGCAACTACAGTTACTTAGCTCATATTTTGAGTCAAAACGAGTAGAGACGCAATCAGATTGTTTTGTATGCAAATTTTGTGAAAATCTTACGAGCGTACAGTTGATAAAATCATGTTTCCGATTACATTCTGTCACAGGTAATGTACAGTGTTTTCTGTGAAGCCGTATCTAGTCTTAATTTATAAAAGGATATTTTCACATTTTTAATATGCTGACCACTCACTGGGAGCGCTTTATAAATGTGAATGCCTAATGTCTTAACACAAGTCACAGTTTGTAACATTTTGTATAAAAATGGGGAACACGATTGTAGCAAAGAAAATATTTTTCTCTTTTTGAAGAACTCATTCGTGAATAAACGATAAACAAAGTAGAGCATTCCAAAGCATTTTCGGTATCGTTCAATTCCATTTGTTAACGCGTTTGTTGTACACAACGAATGATTCATCTTATAAGTGAAAGACGAATACATAGACCTCAACAGCAGGCCGTCCTATTGAAAGAGCGAGTCAGACGGTTGTCATTTTACAAGATAAGGAAGGATTCATTTTAGATTATGTTTTAGTAAAAAGCGGGCCAACTTTACTTATGAAGATGGAAGTTTTGCTCACACCACGCGTAAATGAAGTGTTTATTAAAAAGTCTAGAGATTTCACTAGATTGTTTAAAGCTAAGCAAGTAGTTGGCCAGATGTATTCTTTGGATGATGTAGGACTGAATAGCCATGTTGTTTATGTTGACCACTTTTCATGCTTGAACAAAAGAAATAACATGTATCTTGCTGACATTAAGTTTTTCACAGCGTCATTATTCTTAAGTGCGAATTTTTGATACAATTTCATCACGTGAGTAGTCAAGTTTCTGGTTTCCTAGAAACAGTATAAAAACATTTTCGCCAATTAAATAACTTTAAGGGTGATCACACCAAACACTGGAACAGTTAATTAAATTTTTAATAATGACTGCAAAAGTAGTTTTTGCAATAAATAATCAATTTTTTTCACCTCATTATTCAGACTGCTTTTCACATTTGGTTTTGAAAACTTGTATGAATCTTTTGTCTTAAGTTGCAATTATTTACCACAATGCTCAAGTTCTGTGGTCTGGTCTAAGTAAATGACCGACCAGACACAATATTGTCCTATGCTATATTAGCACACTTTCAGTTACAAATACTTATATAACCCCGTTTTCATGAAAATCAAACATTTTTCTGGCAAATCTAGGATTTCAGTTTTCCACTTTCATTTTTGATATCATTACGTTACTCGCGAAGTTTATATTACAGTTTCTAAGGTTCACTTCTAGTTGTAATTTCTAGCCAGCAGCCACAAAGGAACAACTCTAAAGGCCACCCTAAATACAACTGGATTAACCAACCACACATTTTTAATTTTGTGAAAATCTCCCTTACCAGCTGAAAGAGACAAACCTTATTGGCTATTCTGGTCGTTTTTAGGTAGGCCTTTAAGTCATTTCCAAAAGATTCATATTCACAAATGTAGGAACCTAACACAGACTATTTTAGTCAACATACATTAATTTTTGGCACTATCTTATAAAGATAACAGATTCATAACGAAGTACTATTGCGTTCAAACAACATCTGATGGATAAACATAATGTTAAATGTATAACACTTATATTTTGGATTTATGCATACATATATTTATTTCAAAATGCATATGTAAAATAATACTAATTAATTTTTTTTCTATGGAGATTACAAAGCACATTACATACCTATTTTCTGATTAAGCAATGTATTAAACAACTTGTACGTCAAAATTGGGATTTGCGTACATGGTTAAATCAAATGTCCGATCGTCTAGAACGACTCGAGTTACTAACGTCGGGTAAAATGGGGCAAAATAATGAGCCTACTAATTCCATAAGCTCCAACAATGTGTCGAATGTCGTGAATACATCAGTGGATCAATTCAAAATGTTTTCTGCTGAGCAAAACAAAGTGAGTAATGTGCCTTTATTTACATGATCACAAATACTTTTTAATATCTAGTCTGATTCACAGTCATATTGTTTAATTGTCAAACCGCGTCTTGATAATTTGACTGTAACTAGTCCACTTTCACCTTACTTCTGTCGTCATCTTTTATTGTTCCACTTGTCAGCTAAAGCTAATAATACTGATAACATGATTGACCTTTCCGCTGATCAACACGTTTGGTTGTTTAAAACTCGAACAAATGAATAATATACAAAAAACGGTTTCTTCTAAGGGTGATAAGTTTCCGAAACATCTAAGTGAAGTGATGCATATCTGCAACATTTGAATTGACAGATCAGATGGATTTGTAGTACGGATGGAAAAGTTTCATATAAGTTACTCCAAATTTACAAGAAGCATAATTGACTCATCAATGTTCAAACGGACAAAGCTAAACAGTTGTGCACTGTTCGAAAACGTGTCCAAGAGTGGTGTAATCAAGTCATGCATCTGAAATGCATGACCGTTTTCATTCACAGTGTGTAAATGTGTAATTAGTACTAAATTATATCCACTACAACCAGCTGGTGGATTTTGTTGTCTTATTTGAATGACTTTATAGAGATCACTAAACAGTGTTTAAGAGTTCTAAACTTTTATTTACTGCTTACGAAATTCAGAAATTTATGTTTCTTTAGTACAGTTTTTGTTCCTGAAATGCTTTGGACGTTTTACCTATCATGAGACTAAAATTAGAAACTCTGCAGTTATATGCCATTAAAACAGCTACATATCCAAACTTTAAAAATCTACTGGTAAATTAAAACCCACTTTCCTGCATGAGCTCTAAGACAACATCAGTGAATGTAGAAGAGCCTCAGTATTACATTTATCAATGTGCTGTAGTACTGTTGTAGTCATCTATAGTTAGCTTCAAATAAGATAATTTCACTTGCTCACTGTAATTGGATGAGATGTAGTACCAGAGTGATTTGTTTGATCTAACTAGATGAAGGAAATAAGTTTTATGCTTTACAGTTTTCACTCCTTACTCAAGTCTATCACTTAATATTCACAGCTATGTGATTTTAATTAAGCTTGAATATCACGTGGAAACAGTAGTGTATACATGCATCGCCTTTTGTGGGCAATCATGAATTTAGTCGATTACCAATATCACCTGTGAAAATGTTTTAACGATTTGGATTCTATCAGGATCACTTAGATTGCAACCTACATCTACTAAACTTTGGTCGCCTGGCTTTACCATCCACTACAAAAAAGTACCAACTAAACTAACAACAATAAACAATGGACTTCAGATTCATTTCTTGTCAGTCAGTTAAAACACTGAAATTAAGGTTGATTTGAGATCATGATAATACTGAACATTACCATATGGAATGTTCTGTTGTTTGCCGTCAAAAAGAAATATTACTTCCTTTTTAAAGATCGCAATGTTGGCAAAAGGAACTCTGAACTGTGATAAATACCTCTACACACGACAACGGTTCATTATTGGGTTAAAAACAATATTCAACTGTAGATAAAATGTAAAACAATCTTTCCCATCATTTTTCATTTTGTGTTTGCCTGCCTTTTCTTATTTAGTACTCTATAGGTCGACGTGTATTACCTAGTTCAGCATCATTCAGTGTACAACCTGGTAATAAACCGATGAATGACCATAATCCACTTTCCTCATCATCATTTTCCAGATGGAACAGTTCGATCAATTCTAATAATGAAGTTAATTATAAACCTTTAAGCAGTTCTAATCCATTTAGAATGCCTCGGTCGGTCTCAGCCTTGACAGGGAATGCCAATGACATGAATATAATCAGACCTCAGTTTATTGCACCATACACAACATATTTGTCAAATAAATCTAGTTATCCAACATCAACGTTTAGCAATGGAATACCTAGAAACCCCGATGCGAATAATTCGGGTGCTGTTATCAAGGAAACATCAGGCTTGGAAGATGATGAATTCTTACAGTTGGCCAACAGAAAAGAGGTAAACATACATCTCTAATACACCATAAAACAGATAGTGATTTTATTGTTATGAGTTCTTTTTGTATATTATTTAGGTACAGGCAACGATTACAGGGATTTCATAATATTCCACTAAGTCAGTTTTGGACGTGGAATGCAAGACTTTTTAACTTTTGATAATTTATGCGTGACCGTTTTATGCATCTTATCAGACATAACTGTGACTGGGCTTCCAAAACTTATTTCGATCTCAGCTAAGGGACGATTGTTATCTCTTAGTTCATTTTTGCTTAGAATATTTGACAAGTTTACTGTAATGTGGATACAAGTAATTGATGGCCATGGCGATAAATAATTGCTGAATGCGACATAAAACTTAGTTACAACTTACGCTAATTTGGCTTGATCTATTGTAGAGTACTTGTCACTTAACCAACTCAAAGCTGTTTCGTAGCTTAGAGGCAAGCATTTAATATCCCATTATTATGCTTTATATATTCAAACGCTTGAAAGCAGACAACTTAACATTGTTGTGAACGATTTTCTGTTTACCTTCCAAAAAAATATAATTATTTGTAAGTTAACATCGAGTGAGCTAGGTTAGGTAGGGGAATCGAGCAAGCATTGTCGTCTTCATAGTTGATACATTTTATTCTACAGGAAAACTGGTAAAGTATGTGTGGTTAGATAGTAGCATCAGACTGATGACTAAGACCTTATCTACAACAGTGAACTCAGAATAATCACGTAATCTTCCTTCGCATACCTTCAACAGTACTCATATAAAAACTTAATTAAATACAGAAACTTAGAACCCAGCTGATTTAGTTATCTAATTTAAAACAATTGGTCCCCGTTATAAACTTCGACATAACAATGGGAATACGTAAATTGTCTGAACCATGTAATGTATTTGCATAGCACACTTCTAACTATCTGATCACACACGTAGGTATTTATATGAAAATTCATGAAAATAAGCTGTGAGAAAATTAAAAGAGATCAAGTAGGAATGCTGAATCAAAGGCCAAATCAGTAAAGCGAAAATAATAGTACATCGAACTTGGTTTCAGAGTTGAGTTCACCAAGAGATTTAATGTGATAACAAATTATCTTTAATACACAAAGGTGGTATAAACTTTTTAATAGTTAAGGCCTCATCAAATTTAAGGATCCGTCCCCAAGACATTTTGTAAATGGGTCTAATGGAAGTAGCGACATCAAACCAGTGACCTGTTTCAACGATGTGTTTCACGGTTGAAGAACTTGAATGTCTGCTACCAGTGTTAATGGGTTCAGGTGATTCAGTTTGCTTCTGAATCCACTTTGTAGTATGTTCCGAAGCCCTTACTTGCTTGGACCTACGAGTCCTCTCCCTATATGTATCACCAAACGTAAATTTGAATTAGCAGATGGAATGGGATGTGACTTCATTGTTCACATGCTGTAAGGGTTTGGGAGAATATACATGCTTGTTAGTTTCTATTAATCGAACACTAGCTGCATATTGAGTCCTACTGAAGCAGGCGTTAAGTCTCTGCTTAAGGATTGTTCTACGAGAGTCACCTTTTACGGAAGACCAATAAAGATGTCTTTCTTTGGGACAAAGTAGAGAGCTGGTTTTGGTGCCTTGGTTATTTTGTGTTGGCCATTAGATTTTTAGTTAGTTATTTTCCAGCAGTATTTCAGTCAATGGTCCTTTTTTATCTTCAAAATCACCATCTGTCCACATTTGTTGAATTCTGCTGAATAAGCGCCCAACTAACCCTTCGTTATAATGAACTGAACAGAAGCTATCACAGTTCAAATATTCCCCTTTCCATATGGGTTTTTTCTACATAGATCCCTTCATGTATCCATCCTGCAGCCGACTGATTCATTAATTAGTATTCTTTTACGAATGTCAAGGATATGCTGCTGTATATTTCATTCAATAGGTTTAAAACTGAAGTGGACTGACTTGAACTATCACAAATAATTAGGATATCGTTGACGTATCTTCGATATAGATTGGCTAGGCCAATCAGATTCTAAGCTAAGTTTTCAACCTGTGACATGAATATGAATATAAACACTATTAATACTGAGTTTCATCAACAAATTTTCTCTTTCAGTCACTTGTATTTTATCAGGTATGCCAGAATGCAAACACGCTGAAGTAGTAAATGTAGAATTTCATTTAAAACTGCCTATTATACTAAAACTCTAAAATATCTTAGCCTAGTTTAAACATGTGTTTTACTGAACATCTTAAATTGCAAGTTTAGCTTCTACATTTATTACAAAATTTGAACTACTCACCATTTTTAAACAGTATGTTATTATATTGAAATTTTATCGTCCTTTTTATTTACAAAGGCCAAAACTAAGTTCACCCATGTATAAAAAGAAATCGAAAGAGAGTGATAAAAGTAACCTTATTTCATTAAATTAAATGGAAAATCTTGTCACACAAGTTGATTTTTGTTGCATGGGGAAGTCTGAAAGAAACAGATATTCCGTTCTATGAGAATCAGCTAGCATCTCCACAAAAATTGGTAATGAAATATTAGACCTTTCATTTGAAAGCTAAATTTTGAGCAGGATGAATGATCTCTATCCATCTAACATGAAATAATTATTGCTGCATACATCTGGATTTGCTGTCAGAAAGGATCTAAATTCGACAGTTCTTTGAAGTCAAATGACTACAAATTTTGAACTTCAAGTACTTTACTTAGTGATGACATGGATTGCATCTTTTCTGACAATGAACTAAATGATAAGTGGTAAACCACTAAAACAAACAAGAATTTCTTAGTGGTGTAACAGATGATCCTTTTGTAGCAAACGTTTTCATGACGAAAAATGTAGAGCCATGAACCAAGGAGAGATCAGTCTTTTTATAGGTTACATATCCTGTTTGAAAACAACATTTTTATTACTCTGAACCACAGGATTGCAAATGAAGAGTTCCACGGTTTGGTTCAGAAAGATATCCAGTGTAAAGTGTGTATTAACTGCAGCAACCAGGAGTGAAACAACAAGACTGAAAGACAAACTTAAAGAAAGCGATAAGGAATCTTGTATTGCCATTTTCAGTGTTAAAGAACATCAACTAATTCGGTGAAACATATTTATGTCATAAAACTCTCTGAAAATTGCATATTTTAAGGAATTTCATAAAACAATTTATAGGTACTTATAAGTAAAACATAGCCCTTAAAAATACAGCGGGCTAAAGAGTTACAATACCTTTTGAAAGCTGCACTGAATTGATGCAAGCTTTCCAAACTTCATTCTGACCATGCTTTTACCCCATTATGTTCATCCAAAATACCTAAATAAATATAACCACTGTCAGTCATTCTACATCCTTGATAAGGCAGTGTACGATATTCAAACTATGGTAGGAATTCGACAGCCGAATGGGACATGTTCCAAAGTTCTAGCTTTTTCGAAATTAGAGTACTCAGAATAACTGATTATAGTATAGTTTAGGTTATATAACTATTTTATCATTGTCTAATCGAGTAACTTTGGTGAAAGATATAACTAATTTTTGAACACAAATGATCAGAAATTTGGAGTCCAGGTTTTATGCAAGAGTAGATTAAGCCTGTTACTGAACGCTAAGCATCCCGTAGCTTACTTTCTTATTAGTTGACTTTCGTGTTAAGCAAAATTTCTAGATTGTGTAAAACTGGTTAGATGTCTGTCTAGGTAGACTGTTATAGTTTACATGCATAAATATATAAGAAGTGTAAAATGTGGTTGAATTAGGGATTAATAGCAAAGCTTACATCAAAATTAAATGTCTATGTCACTTCAGGAAACTGAAACTTTATTTCAATAACTTGACAACAAATGAAGGATAAACATGGCAAACTAAAAGTTACATTTCATTATTCTGGTCGCTATTTTTCTCAATGGATGATAAACCGCTAAACCTTAAATCATAGTCACATTTATGTACAAAGTTATCTCCTAGAAGGAAAATGTTTCAATACATTAAGTGTAGTTATCAGTAACAAGTAGGAAATGCATGCATAAATATTACCCTGATTGCTTGATCTATTCATCTAGCAAATGAAGTCATCACAGTGGTTAAAAACTTCAGCATAACAACGGAAAGTATTCATTTATTAAGAAGACTAGTAGAAAATTTAAAGACAGAAATCATAATAAAAATTCCAAGACCATTAAGTAAACGTTATTTGTGTTCTACAGCTGTAAACTTTGACTGTAGTAAATTTTCATTATACTACCTTCATTAATCAATAAAAGTTTTGAAATTTGCTATTATGTGATTACTAGGTATCTAGTGCACTCAGCAAATCTAGAACATTGAAACACTCTTGGTCTGTGAAAGGAAGTAGTGACTTTGGTGTTATTGATAATACATTCAATGGGACAGGTTTGCCTCGTTCAGTTAGTGCAATCAATAGTCCGCTAGAAGTCATGGCTTCTGAAGCAACTACAACAGATTGTCAATCTCCTGGTCAAGCAAGACGTTTAACAGTTACGCAACCAACTCTAGGTGAATGTATGCGAGCAATGAGTGCTTCTACTAGCCCTGCACAGTCGGATAAATTATATTCTACGAAAACTGATTGTTGGACGAAAGACAACAACTCTTGTTCAAATGACAGGAATGATATTGCACTTGTTCCAAAGCTACTATTACCACAGACTTCAAAACGAATAGTGTCTGCCACACTTCAGTCTGATTTGAAAATGAACCACTATGAGCAAAAGGCTTTCCAACCAACAGTAGGAAATAACGGACTTACAAACCACCCGACACCTAGCCAGTCACCGCAACTTCAAAATATGAAGCTCACCAATGATTCTAATGAAATGAAAAATTTCAACCAAGCTGACAACCATTTCCCAACAACTTCGAGGTGAGACAAAGTAAGCAGTCAGCCAGTTAGTTCGATCCTCTTGTAAATAAGCAGTATATAGATGGTCGAACCAATTTTCACCAATATTTAACCTGAATCATTCGTTTAGATTTCAAAGCATTTTCAATGTTCTTTATCATTTACACCGAAGTGAATGTTTATGAAATAAATCTGTGAGTGAAAGTATTGTTGAGAATTTTTAATAAACCGAATAACGCCTTGTTTTAACTGCATACGTGACAGTTAGCTGTTTTCTCTCCTTCACTAGATATTTCAAGGATATGCGTTTAAAAGTACGTATCCTAAATGAGAGCATTATGCTCACATTGCAGTTAAAATTAAGAGAAAAGTGTTTTTCAACCAAGTGAATCATTTATTACTAGTGCTTAGTAGCAGTTTTGACCTGAATAAAAATTAGAAATTTCATCATGGACATTCAGACTATCTATCAGCGAATTTCGTGTCAGCTACCATAAAAAAAGGATTACTCAGCAGTAAATCTGCTCAGAGGCTCAGGAAAAACGTACTGATATGTCGATGATTTGCATGCTTTGATTTGTTGTGATTCAAGGCACATAAGTCAGTAGTGTGTTTAGTATTACTAAATGCACTGGGTTACAATCTGAACAAAAGTCACCATCGAACTTCTTTCTTATTAATTGTGTTTATTCACCTCATGCTTATGTGAGGTTCAGCAAAGGACGATAAGCTTAATCACATGGGTACTTGAGTGAAAATCGTTAACAAGTAAATATTGCCTAGAAACATTGCCTTAACTTTGGGTAGATTCACGTAATCGGTATGAATTTGTGGATTTGGAAGACATAATATTGACTGCTGTTCCATAACCGACCAGCGTATTAAAAATAACTTATGTATGCTATGTTTAATACAATCGGGAGTCTCAATATTCACAACTTCTCAAGACATTTTTCTTCAGGGGCTTTAATAGTCTGTTCACTGAACTTCATATCTAACTAGGCGGCTGAGACTAACCAGATGGATGCACGCTTAAGGGAATCTATGGCCTACATTGAGTAATTCTGAATGTATAGTAACTGAGGTACTTTCCAGTGACTTGATCAAAGCAGAGACCTGGAAAATTCCGTGAGGGTGTTTCCATTTGCACTTTAATGGATATGAAACATCCCTATGCTGACAAATAATATTAATGACATAATAATTGAAACTTTTCATTACTTTACAGTTCATTCGTTACTTCGTTTCAAATAAATAGTGACCACCAAGCCAGCCATGCAAATGAAATCGACAAACAGTGTACAAATACACAGATCACAAAATCAGATGTGTATGTACTTCCAACCTTAACCAATCTTACACTTCAGAGGAGAAATATATTTCATCAACGGATGATGAGTGTACATCGACAAAGCTGGACAAAACACTATTGAAAAAATCAAATTCTGAGCGTTATAATAACTTCTATCCTTTATCTAATAAAAATACAACACTGGTGTCAGGTAAAGATAAACTAATAATGTATGTCAAACGTACTCTTAAACTGACTAACATTCATACGAAATAAAATGTTCAAAAGTAAACATTCGATGAATATTTAGTTGTTTAAGATGATTATTTTAAGGCATTGAGTTCGCTACCACAGAAAACAAACCCCTGTTTTAGGTGCAAGAAAAGAATATGTACTATCCTTATTTAGCTGGTGACAAATTTAATTAATTTCTTATTTTAAGTTTGCTTGTATTGATAGAAATAAAGACAGAGAAAGGAAACAGGAAAATGTTTGAATTATGTATAATTTTACACAAAAGTCACTGGTACGCCGTTGTAATTACTACAATCTAATCTCATGTAATCTTTTCATTTTTGCAGTAATTTGTAACTATTTTGGAGACTAAACAAAAATTAAAGGGATTCTTTTTAAATCTGTTTTCATGCTAAAATTATTCATTAACGTTTGCTTATTCGTAAATTCCATCATTCTGTTGATGTTGAGTGAGTGTACATGTTCATTTGTAATCAAGTAATTTTTGTTCTCTTATCGTTTTGCAGTGTAAATATTTTACTCGTAACTGGTGAGAAAGAAATGTATTTCCTGAGAGCAATTTGTTTTTCCCTTGATTTCATATGCAGTTTTAGAGACTACTTGAAATGCTAAAAGGGTAGGGAAATAAAACCTACCTACTGAAGCCTGTGCTTTAAATGAATGAGAATGTACTTAAATATTTTTATCGGATAGAAGTTTGGCTCTCTTTTTAGAAATTAACGATTGGTAGTCTCATTAATAACTGAAATAAACATTTTAATAGAATCCAAGACATTTTTTACCTGTGCAGTTAGAACAATAAGCGACCTCATTAAAATCCGACAATAAAAAGATTTCAGTATTCGAACTAGGTATTATTAGACCTTTTGCATAGAATTCGCAGTGTGAAATTCAGTATCCTCGATATGCTGCAAGTCATCAAACGAAGATATCATAATCTTTTTCATTCATTGTGTTGCGTTCGTCATCCGAACGAACTTACATCAGAGTAAAATTCGCTTTATCTTTCATGTCAGTTTGGAGCTTTACGCTGAGATCGGAAAGTGTAGTTTGGACTAATTTGGTTGGTAATCGTTGAGTTCCTCGTCCAACACCTGTATCTATTCCAGCCAGCATTCAAACTAACAAAGTTATGAGTAACTTATGTTCTTTATTATGGTAAGCAAAGATAATAACTACGGAATTAATGGTGTTTCGCAGATTACATCAGATACATCGCTGTGTAAATTCCTCACGAAAAGTGAACAAGTATCATGTTTCATTCCCACTCTTATCGATAATCAGTTGTTTGATTGTCATAACCACTTTATAGGGTGTTTTTAAGACATGCTATCCACTTATCTGTCCTTTCTACCTGTACTCTAGACCACTATTCGATAAAGCCTTCTTGCTCGAAAACGATGTTCGAACCAGATCCTTTGGCTTAAACTCACACAGTCATGTCCGGTGGTACAAAGTGATGTCATCTAACGTCACAACAGCTTATGATGTCATTCACGAATGTTCACTGACACCATTACTGATTAAGTCGATTAAAGTCTATTAAACAGATCTATCTCTTCACTTTTAGGTCCTCAACGAAAGTAGTATTCACCTAGAAACCATTCTAGTTGATATTGCGTACGCACATAAGAGTATTGTTATGATATGGCAATGAAAAACTTAAGGTCTTTTGAACGCACTGAGCAAAAATCAGACTGGACTAATGGTATACGTTCCACTTTCAGTTAAGCATGTAGTGTGTATTTCAGTTCTATATGCATTATCTACATGTAGCTCAGTTGTAAGATGATAGTACAGGATTCATCATTACTAACTGTTAGTTTGTAATTGGGTGGCTGGATGTTTGAAACACTTAACTAATTCAGGAAGTTCCATGAGCGTCATTGGGTTACTTTTAAAGACATCCAGGAATGTGTACAAAAACGTTTTGGTATTTCGTAAAAAGTGTCATCAGTGATGCTAGAGAAATATAGGACTATCTTTGAAAGCAAAACTAAACTGAGATGAAGCCATTATCTTCTTACCCTGTGATTCTGAAACATAACCGT